CCCCCCCCCCCCTCCACTATACTGCTTTTTTTTCCCAAAGGTGAAAAAATACTATAAATAATAATAATGATAATAATAATAATAATGATAATAATGATAATAATAATAATAATAATAATAATAATAATAATAATAATAATAATAAAAAACTTGGGAAAGTGCTAGCGATGGTTCTTTCCTGTTTAACCAAGTAAATCTTTATGTAATGTTTCAAGCCCGTATATCTGGCTGATACACTGTCTCAGACCAGCTGATTTTCTGCGCTTGTTTTCGTCTTTAAAGTATATATATCTTCAAACCTTATCTGAGTTCTCTCCTTGCTGTTTAAAAGCCTGAAATGAATTTCCATTGTTGCTGTACTGTAACTTGTATTGGGTCACCCACTGCTCGATATTACATCTTCCTTGAGTTGCCACATAACTGACAGTTGTCTCCATTCCAAAATCGATTTGAATCCACTGGTTCAGATCATCTACTCCTGTTGCCCATGCACCAGAATTATCTATGTAGTGTAGTCTTCCGTACTATGGGGCATGATCACTATATTGAGAGGACGCTGATATCTGTGCGGGCGTTATCTTAAAGTTTCCATTCCCAAAGGAGCCTGACATTCTAAATAGAAAAATATATGGTAAATGGTAGTAATATAGAATGGTTTTACCCAAGTTATAGCATAAAAAATAGATTCAACAGTAGTGCAATCTGAATAGTAGTAATGAGCCCCGCTGAGGCTCGAACCTGGAGTGCTCGATCCAGAGTCCACCGCGCTGACCAGGACGCCACCGCGCCTCTCACTGTGTTCTGTTGCACAGCCAACACCATGTTATATACTCAATGTTAATTTGTACCTCCGAATTACGAAGGAGCCTCCGAGGGTGAGATTTACAGCAGATTCGAATATGGTGGCCACAGTTGAAACTTAACTGAGCTCAGACGAATTTCATCTTCACTATACGATTAATTGAGCCTGGCATATGCATTTTGGAACTGTCATCCTGGGGTGGGTACAGAAGTTTAGGAATTAGTCATTAAATTGTTGGAGATTCAAGCGAGGGTTATAATTACCAAAACATCCGTAGAGTTCCATCCTCATGGCGATTTGCCTGTTCCATGCTGTGGGTATCAGTCTGATGTATCGCGCTCCGATTGGAGGAATCAAAGGATGTTTTACCACAGTGTCTTGATCACTGTTTCCAACAAAAACCTATTGATAATTAATGTAAACATAAATACATACTAATTATGCATTGACCGTTATTTTGAGCCTTGCAAACGTCAAATTCGGCTAAATTTTCAAACCAAACATTGTTTTCCAAACGAGTAAAGTTGACGTAAGCGTGCATCTGACTGTTCTCTGATAGAGCACTTTAAAATAAGCCAGTCAGAATCCTTTTTAGAAATATTCAAATGATTTGATTGGCTAACGAGAAAACAGCTGTCAATCACAAACTAGGCTTCAGCTATACTTCTGGTTTCGAGTGGCTTTCGAAAGAAGAACGATCACTTCAAAGTCCACTTTTTAGTTTGATTGTTTAAAGAGGGATCCAAAGGTTTCTAATCCAGAGGAATCCGGCTACATTGTGGCTGATGAAAAGATGCACTTTTCCATTTTGAAATTATTTTCAACCTACCGTTGCTCAATGCTGATTGGTTCAAATTTCAAAGATAGTGGTCCAATACACAAGGAGTAGTTTTTCGTGAAATATTATAAGGGTGACTTGGTTTTAAGTGCAAAGAAAAAGGGTTTCAAGAAAAGTGATAACATACATCGTGTTTTAGAATGATAATAATTCACGTGAAATAAACTTTTTTCCCACGCCAATTCCTTTCACAATTTCCTTGTTTCATTGTTTTGTCTGCTTTTTTTTCAAAAATTTAGGCTGAAAATGCCATTATATGATTCGCATGGATTCCCGGTTGCCGCAAGAGTGAAATTTGTCTCAATTCAAAGATGGAGTTGAAATCACTCATTCAGATTTTTCTGGAGATGAGGTATGTGAGTTATTAATTGTGATGTTGCAAGACACAATAAATTTTGTTGGTTTGTCTGACACCTGGCTAATTGGCCTAACAGGGACGAATCGTGAACAGAGTATCATTTTCAGGGTCTTTCGCCGTAGACAGTGTCATTTTCTAATGTCTTTACAGGGGTATTTCTGGATTTTTTTCTGAACACCACCACAATTCCCTCCTCTTACCCAGGTTCCTGACGGTATTTGATGATTTGCTTAGCTTGGTCATATAATCAAAATCAAGCGACTATGTTCTGCAAAAACTGTTCTCACCTTGTCTGAACTTTGTCTAGTCTCCTTATAAACCTGAAACGAAAGTCCATCTTTGCTGTATTGTAACTTGTACTGGGTCAGCCATTGGTTGGGGTCCCCGTGCCTCCCTCGGGTTGCCACAAAAGTGACATTTGCCTCAACACGAAGATCGATTTGAAACCACTGATTGAGATCATTCGTAGCTGCAGCCCATACTCCGTTGCCACCCTTAAAATGCAGGCTTCCGAGGGTTAGAGCATGACTCCCATCATATTGAGATGAAGCTGAAATCTGTACTGCTGTTATTTGACGGTTCTCCATTCCCAGGGGACCTCCGCACCCTAAAAGCAACAAACATAAAAGATCTAGAATGATCATAAATTATATTCAAGCTAAACAGATTCAAGGGCAGAAAAGTACCATGAAAGCTTAAAACAGAAACCAAACAAAACTATACCCAAATAGAGAAGGAACTTTATTTATTACTTATTTATTTATTTTCCATTTAATTCTAATTTTGACAAACCCATCTACGGAAGAGATGTTTATGTACAAAGTTTCGCCACACCCCTGTTTTCGGTGCCCCCGTCGAATGCTATTGAGATTGCACTGTTATCATCTGGACTTATCCTAAAAGCATGGTGCCAAAATGCCCATTGCTAAAAGCACTTTACCGAGCATACATTGAAGGGCAACAAAGAATTCAAATTGTTGAAGAAACAGAGGAACTGTTTGTCTGGTCACAACGCCAAGAAATCCATTAAAGCCGCCACTGGTAGTGGTAGTCTACTGGTAGTGGTAGTCTACTGGTAGTGGTAGTCAACCGAGGTCAGTCGGAACAGCGGTCCCAGCTGAAATTAGAATTACTTCCTAGCTTGCACACGTACATTGGCGTGATGAAATCATCATTCGGCTTATTATTATTATTGTTCAAGAGTAACCACGTACTGGTTCCGACCTCTCAAATCCTTGATATCATAAAACGTATTCAAACGTGGGTATTCAAGGCTGCCTACGCAAAGCCACTGAGTAATAACGTGTCCTGGCCAAATGAAAACGTCAAGGATTATGTAAGCAAGAGTGCCATCTGCTGTGCTCACCAACTAGACCAAGGTCAAGAGCCTATGCTACCTAACATTGCCCAAGACAGACCATGCATTGAGCAATGTTGCAGTGGACCTATTTCAACTCCACAACCAATAGTTCCTCATCACTGTTGATTACTTTAGTGATTCCTAGAAAGTGAGCTAGCCAAATGCATTGTACACGCTCGCAGGCTATAATTCAAGCCCTAAAGTCTCAATTTGGGCGCCATAGGATTCCCAAAACTGTCGAATATCATAATGCGCCGTCAGTTTGCCTGTGCTGGATTCATCGTCTTTGTACAAAGTTTTAGAACGTAACAAGTTCGCCTCATCATTCAATGGAAGAGTCGAAGCTGCTGTAAAAGCATGTAAGGTCCTCGTCAAAAAGGCTCAGACCCCTGGTGAAGATGTCCAACATGTCTCATTCTTCCATGTACTCCACCATTAAAGCAGTTGTTGAGTTGTCTATGAATTTATACCAGTAGTTCCTCAAGCAAACTAAGAAACAGTGGTAAGCATGTTTGCTGTCGAAAATACGAATTGTTTTCCATGAAGGCAGGTGTAATTGGCATTCAGGTTTCCATGCACCTTCAGAGTGAAACATTGTCAGTTTTTGTTTTCATCAATAAAAATACTATGAACTATGAAAAAAAATACAATACAAAACGAGCACCGAAAAAATGGTCACCGTCTTTCTAACGGAAGTGAGAGTTGTTTGTTGATTGACCGAGCCAATTTGTGTTGTCGCAAAACTTTATTTTCGCTGGATGGGGACACCTTGAAGAGTTACAACTCAATGGTGATCTGTCCGATTTCAGTCCAGTCTCCAAAAAAAGGTAAGCGCCATGGAGAATTTGTCAATTCTAAAATTTGTTTTGTTGACGCTCATTTCTGTACGGCCAACATGTATGTAGCTTTTTAAATTATTTTTTAAAATGTTCTGCAGCTGTTGAATGGAATCGAACAAATGAAAACCCCAAAACACTTTCTTAAACGTTTGGGTCTCTCACCTCGAGGAGAAATTTTAAAAAAGATGATTTTAACCTTTCAAACCTTTAGAATAGCCAAATTTATCATTTGATACTGGACTAAGGGTATCTGTGCAGTAATCGCGAGGCGCTAAATCCTTTGGGCTGGAGGCAAACTTAAAGGTACACGGTAACCTTAAATTGAAATTTATGTTACCAAACTTCTTTATCTCGTGAACCACTCATGAATTTCGAAAGCAAATTAATACTACACTTTCTTTAATGACGCTTTCTAATTATCGTTAGGACTGAGCTAAATAATTAATTAAGACAACAACACAAAGACAACAAACACAGTCTTTAGTGCTTTTTTATAGTGAAAATCTCACGTCCTTGCTTGAATTTAAGAAAATCGATCATTAAACAGCAACATGATAGTAGTTTTATTCACCTCTGGTGCAATGGAAACCCGTATAAAAAGGCACACAAACACAGTGGTATTGATCCTCTTCTTAATTTGGGTTGCAGCTGCCATTATTTTTGCAGGGGTCCCTTGAGCAAGGTGTCTACAGTAAACAAAAACTAAGCATGAAAATTTCTGGCATTGTTGTAACAAGTATGTACGAGAAAATCAGAGAATGTATAAATATTTGACTTAAAAAAGTCTCCAACAGCCAATTACCATACCAATTACCAGCCAATGAATTATTAATAAATTCTGTTAGAAATTTAAGTAAGAACCGAACGTGTAACTTAAGGTTCTGAAGTGTAGGTTCGTGGATCACACTTTTCTCAAAGTAGAAATTTTTGCCATAATAATTTCACTTTTTCTTTCGATAGCAGAGCAAGATCTTCTTTGTTATGCTGGGTTTCAAAAACGCTGTTTACTTCGTAATGATAACAAAAAACTTACATTTAATTCGTCTTCTGAACATCACACCATGAACAGGCGGCGGAACTTATTACATTTTAGTTCTTGGTACGCCAAATTAAACAAGGGTGTTGTTTTATTTGCTCTATACAAACTATAAAATGATATAAAGTATAAAAAAAATTATTAGCTCTTCAAGAAAGCTCTTCGAGAATTGTCTTATACAAATGACCCTTGTAAAATAGACTCTAAAATGAATTATTTTATTCATCCCTTTTCTTTACAAAGAGAACATCCATCTTGCAGCCAATTTCAATACAGTGTATAGACCCGGGTTTTTGAATCATGATTCGCCCGTGCATGATTCGCCCGTCGTGATTCGACCATAATAACATGACTCTGACAAGGAGCACCTGCACGTGGTGTGGAAAATGGAGGATAAATACGAGATGGTAGAAACGGACAGCAAAACTCTTCCATAATAAGCGGGAGGCAGAGCCTGCTTTATGTAAAATGAAGGACGTCAAAGCAAAAGGCGTCCTTACGAATTGTTTTCTACCAGGAGAAGAACCTTAAGCGTTTGGAAAGGGGTAATTTGAGGTTCGGCGGCAGAATTAGTGTTTCTTGCGATTGCCGATCCGGGGGGGCGGGGGGGGGCACTGCCATATATGGGCTATATAGGTATGTGCCGCTGTGAAGGGTATGGTTTTCAAGCAGTTTACTCTAGGATAGGGTATATAAATCAGAGCGTTTGGGACTAGAATAGGGTATAATTTTTCACAAAACTGGCTCGTTGGTTGAAGATTTTATCTAAACAAAGGAAACCAGGAATTGCCACTCAAAAATATATATATAAAAAAAAACAAATCGGCACGTTTAAATTTACGCAAATCAGCCTCAACATTGTCGATAGATGGGGGGAGTTGGGGAGTTTACTCTAGTATAGGGTAGCAGAATTCAGCTCAACTAGCTCTGGTATAGGCTAAGGGTTCCAGGGTCCCAGCGGCAGATCCCCACCCAGAAAATCCCAAAGTACCTCCCCCGGGTTGCCGATGTCATAGCCGACGAAATATATTTTGTGAACAAAAGCTCGCTGAAGCTCGCATTCTGTCATTAACAGGCCCGATAGGAGACGATGGTGTGTTAGCAGCGCCGCTGCAATTTTGGAACACCGTCTACGCCAGAAGAATGGTAAAACAGTACGGCCATAACAAAGTTAGCCTGCGACTGGCACAAAAAGGGTGTTTAAAATGGCAACATTCGACCAGAGAAATGCATTCTGCTGGGATTTTTTCGATGGCAAATGATATTTTTCTTCAATATATATCCTTTTTGAATTTTTAGCATCATAAATTTTAGTTATTGCCAACCGTAGATTAAATTTGCATCACTTCGGCGGCTCGACAGTGACATGACAGTTTCATTTTGTCATTCGCATTTTTCTGTGATCATTGTGCTTCAACTTCAACTACATCTCGTCAAAATACGACAGCAAATGACACTACAATGTCCAAAAAGCGTATGCACAATTAGGTATTTTACCCCGTATCTGAATTGTTCAATTTTCTCTTCTTTCAAGTTCCAACACAACGAGTCGAGAACGTGTCACGCTTTCCTGTCAAGAAATGTAATATTGCACTCATCAGCGATTGATGATGACTTGAAAATAAATTATTGCAAGCGACAATTTTTGTCATCTCACTTGTGTTAGTATTCATTTTCGTCTCCTGTGATGAATTCAGTGAAAATAGCGCTGAATCTAATCGGTATTAAACTGTTTTGAGGTTTACCTGTTTAACAAGAGACGTGATGCGCCACTTAAACCACGTCGATCTGTTTTTGCCGCTAAAAGCTGAAAATCGTGACTTATCTTAAATGAATGCTGCCAAGGTTTTTACCTTAAAGTGTATATGACATGAAAAATAATTTCCGCTTATTTGAAATTTTGTTTCTTTTGTGATGCACATTTGGGGTGCCAAGTTTCGAGAACGCTGCTTCAAATTTTCCAGAGATATCGTTTATTCAGTATTTCACCACTTTTTAGTTGCAAACAATATGACGTCATCCCTGATCTAATTTTTATAATAGAAAAATGTCAATATCTCTAAAACGAAAACATATATTTCTAAAAGAAAAACGCCAATCTTCTGTATTTTGAGAGGCCTTTCAAATGAGCAGAAGTTATTTTTCATGTCATATGCACTTTAAATTTTGCCGAAAAAAGTCTTTTAACTTTATATCTCATCATTTACGAAATTAGCAGAGCTGTGGTAGCCTCGCGGTCGACTCATGACGGGCGAATCATGCACGGGCGAATCATGTTTCAAAAACCCGGGTCTATACACTGCACTGAAATCGGCTGTAATGCATATCAGTGCTTACAAAATATCTCGTCGCAATGGTGGCTAAACGTGATATTCAACTGGATTTCAAATTGTCAGTTACCTTTATACTTTAATTGTGAAACTGTTGCGAATCGCTCAGTGTCTGGACTTCTAAACTTGTCTTCACTTAGCAGCTCGCAGCGACGAAGCAACGTTGAACGAAACACAGGGCACATTAGCAACACAGGCGAAAGTGCACTCTGTAGCCCGGACTACCTCAGAAGAAGAGTTTAAAGGGGATCCTTGAAGATGCTGAAACTTGTGTGCTACAAAATTTGCGTACGACACCCCGTGTTGAAAACTAGATCGTTTCAAACCACGATCACCTTGGACCAAAAGTTGATTGCGCTGGCCTGTAACACATGGAAAACGGAGCAGAAAAACTGTAAATAGAAAATAAAACATTTCTGTTTAACAGAAATAGCGTGGCAACGCGAAATATGTTCTTCGATTGAATATATAGTATTTATGCACCATTGCTGATGTATAAGGTACAGACTCAAAACGCCCAAAGAACGAATCGATCGTCACGTCAATCAACCAATCCGCGAATGACATTTAAATCACAATTGGTAGGTAATTTCAGTTTTTCTCTTTGCCTTCATTAACCAAATAAGGCCTGGGGCAAAACCTTTAATATGGAAATGAGTTTTGGTTAGATAATCATTTTCATTCAAATTAAACAATATGTTTGCGTTAGACAAAAAGAGAATATACATGACATCTTGAAGATGGGAAAAAAATTCTCGCTGATAGTGTTTTAAATAGTGACCTAAGCGAAGAGGAAATTCGCATAACTAAGCCGGAAGCGGCCATGTAATGTCCTGCTTTTATGTAGAGGGTTTGGATAGCTTGGTAGAATCTTCAGTAAAAAATTTCGGCCCATTTTCTAAATACGACTTAAAACGTGTCATTTCTAAGCTCAAGTTTTTGTTGAACTCTCAGCTATCAGTTGAATTCCATGCAGGCCCCTTACATAGATAATAATGAAATTTTCAAAGTTTTCTATTTATTAAAAAATGCAGAAGTGGTCACCTTTGAAACCGAAGCTGAGTTCGTGACAAAGGTCATAAAGTCACTTTATTCCAAGAAAATGTTAACTAATTAGGCTCTGTCACAATAAACTCAAACTGATTTTATTTGTATACGTTTTTATACGTGTAATACATGCAAAAGTTACAGGTGAGCTCACGCAGCCCTTAACTGACACTAAGTTTTGGCTCTAGGATTCACTTTTATAGTTACATGTATTAACTGACATTTATCTATCTACAAATTTGCATCACATGCGGTCAGCGGAAAACACTATTTTAGTGCGTGGTAAACTTATTTTTGTTGTTGTTTGGAACAAGAGAAGATCAAGGTACCGTCAACACTTACGACGACCTTGATTATTCTTGATTTCCTGAAAAACGGCTCCAAATTTTCTAAGGTGTGGGGCTCCGCTCGCGCGCCTTCGGCGAGCAGGATCTCCGCTATCAACAGAAAAACTCACCTCAAAGTTACAAAACTCAAATCGAAATTCTCGCTTATCCTGAGTTAGCTCAATCGGGCTTTGAACAACCCGGTCAAATCCGCTTTTAGGTTTGGCTAAATCTATATATTATATGGGTTATGTTTAACCTTAATCATAATGGTCCATTTTTCGTTCATAACGGAATTTAAGGTTACCGCCGCACGTCCTGTCTTCTACACGAATGAAGGAAATAATTCTTATATAAGAGAAGTTTGCTCTACAATCAATCACACTAAACTTGACCAACTTATGCATGATCACCGCGCAAACTAGTCCTGTTTCTTTAAGTAAAACAACTTTAGATAAAACCGCAGAAAATGGAATGCAATCATTCATTGATTAGCTTAAAAACACTTCTGGATTGAAGGAACAATGAAAATGTTTTGCATTAGAATGAAGAGTTTTTCTGATAGGAAAAAAAAAATGTTTTTCCTAGCATCTAAAACAGGCACCATAGAAAACTTTAACAGGGGGAAAATTGGCCTACTCGACAAATAACCAACTAATCGCAAATTAGCTAGAGTGACAAAAACGGCTTTGTTTGCCTATATATGGAGCAAACGTTGAACAATATTATATTCATGAAACATTCAAAACTCCTAAAACTGAGAAAATATGCTTATGATGGGGATCGACAACCCTGCCAAATGCGGAACAAATGCTGCTCGGAGGGGAAGGGGAGTGGTGTGATGATTGCGCTTGGAATCACGGAACCATAACTTTGTAGAAACCCTCTCACAGTTGTCAAAGGCCAATTCCTTCTGAGATGTGCCTGCAGGGAATCATGGTAGTTGTACTCAGTATATTAGACTGGATATTTGTTATGATGAATACAACTGCCATGATTTCCTTGCAGGCACATCTCATAGAGTGAGATAATGGGCCGTTACAGTTTTTGAATTATTTTACTCGATTAGTTGTCAACTACTTACTACCCCTGTAGACGTCTATCAAGGTATCAAGTGCATTGATTATCCAGCTCCACTCCACTGAGGATTACAAATGCCGCGCGAAGCTGTCGTGTACAAATGTCTCACGATAGTTGCGCTCCATGAGATATCAGTTTAACGGGTTTTCTGTCCTATGTTTTTTTTCTGATCGCGCTAGAGCGACAAAGAAGTCGATAATGTCCGAAATAAAATCGTTGGATAGTGAATCTTTTATTTGGCGTTTAGCGTGCAGTAATGTCATTTGCTTTTTGACGCGTTAAAATGTTGCAAGACAGGATACCGCACACTGAAATATCTGATATAATGAATTAATCTCTTATATTATGAGTTTGATCTCGCTCAGCTGTGCTAATTATGTACACCTTAAAAATCAAATAAAGCAAGTAAAGCAAATTGAGCAAAGACATCAGGAATCTCAACTGGTGGAAGGTAAACCATTGGGCTACCTTGATTCATGGAGCGACAGAGGAGTTCACCTCCGGGATCCGTTTGTACCGTCCAAGATGGAAGTTTTGAACTAGGGACCTCTATGATTGTAAATCCAGCACCGGAAATCCAACGTCATAAGCTATTTGTCTTCCCCCTCCCTCCCCCTCCCCCAGCTCTCTCTCCCTTCGCTCAGTATAGTATGGTATGATCGGAGACTTAGAAGTAGCTGTACGAAACTGTTGACATATTACTTCGTTATCGACTTCTTTGCTCGGAAAATGGATGAATTTTTCGAGATGGTTCCCTCGTGTACTCAGCTGACGCCAGCGGTTGTGGTAGGACGCGTGCTCCTCAAATATCAGGTGCCCGTCATTGCAAGAGGCTAAATATCTGCTGTAAAGAAAAAATAAAATCTTGCCATGAGATTTAGAACTGCTAAAATGTGTCTTAGGTTATTTTCATCCCCGAAAGTTTCTATCTCTCATTGTTAATTCATCAGCTTTTAACAAAGGAAAGCATAACAGTGATCTGATAATATCTTAATTAGCATAGATGTTTAGCAATTTTAATTCTCCGTTTTCTCCTTAGTTTTGTTTTTAGTTTCCATATCGAATATATATCAAACAGTCATGACAGACTTTCTGCACATTCCCAAACAAGCTGCCAGTCGTATATTCAACCCTCCTCTCGGTGCTCGGAGATGCATGGGTAAATTGGGTGGCTATCTACCCCTTTTTGGAGAAGCAAACCACAAACAAATTGAAAAAAGGTACCTCATTGTAAATTTTACTTTGTGGCATTGTTAGTATTCCTGGTGTAACAGTTTGCAATTAGGTTCCAATTCTGTAATTGCAACATTGATTCTACAGCACCAAGGAACAAGTCACCTCCCCTTTCCCCACACCTTCCTGGATCCGCCCCCTGAAATGTGGCAGAACACAGGCTCTCGTGTTTGATGACATATTACCAGGATCAACCATTTTGGGGTGGTTAGGTTTCGTGTTCGAAAAATTAGTATAATTTCTTGATATTAATTGAAAACGCGTGAAAATCTAGTTTGGTCGATCAACCTCTTCAACCGACCTCAAACCCTGTTGAAATCATGGTTGATTTTTGTGATTTTCGTTTGAAATTAAGATTGATTAAAAGTAAGTTATTTCAAGCGTATAGAAATTAATGAAGAAAATCAATTCGTGCGAAAGTTTTCATCTAGGTTGATTACGCGCGTTTAACTGTTGACACCGGTGAACCCTTCACTAGGCCGTGTTACACTTTAATATATTCTTACACCTTTTACACTATAAATTAACATCTTGACCGTTATTTTCTTTTCTCTACTTGATAATGGAGTCAAGATGACTTCGAAACGTCGTAGTTTACTTTTGGTTCTTTTTGTTATCAAAAACAGTTTCCTCAAATTTAGTAAAGAACACGAAAAATAACGAAAAACAAAAATTCAAGGCAATCAATCTACCAATCCGTCTTTCATCCGCTCGAAAGGCAGAACGAATTTTTTAAATTATTAATTTAATGAATGAATAGAAAGCAAATAAATAAAATACCTGGATAAGTATAGAACTCCATCCTCATAGAGATATGATCTTGCCATACCGTTGGCTTTATTCGCAAATAACGTGCCGTGATTGGTGGGTTTAGGTGGTGATAGACAATGGTGTTGTGATCAAAATTGCCATCAAAAACCTGAAAATGTACACAGCGGTGAGCGAGCTATTCAAAAGTAAATTATCAGTTTAATTCTACATCGTAAAGTAAACATTTACCACAAACGAAGGGAAAAAAGAAGAGCAAGCGACGAATCTTCTAAACCTACTTATGTAAGCTTTTTATTTCGCGTATTCGCTCGTGATGTTTCGTTCTAGGCTTACTTGCTTCGCAGGTTCTTCGCTTTGACTCAAGAAGCAGGGAAAGGCCTCAAGTAGACTGATCACTGGATAAAGTGTTTGAAAGCTAAACAGACGAGATAAACCATCCCGCGGGAGCAAGCTAAATCGAAGTATTGGCACTTCCGTGAGGATGTGAGCAAATTCAGCAAAAAAGACATAAAAGAGTTCCTTAATTGTCTGGCCATGGAAGCAGAAAGTAAAGCAAAGACAATAGGATATCACCATAACAAAACCAGGAAAGAGTATTCTATCCTTGAGAGGCCGTTAAGAACAAAAAAGGAACAATACGATCACCATGGAGCGAGAACAAAAGGCAAGATGGGTCGAGCATTTGAAGGCACTCTGCTGAATGTTCACGTCAAGCCAAATGAGAAAACGAACGGCATGTACTGACGATACAAAGTCGACTCAAAACCCACAACAGCCATCATCATCGTCATCATCATCATCCTTACCCTTATATGCCTGCATGAGAATGACACATCCACTTTTCCTTTAGATTACGGAAATAGGGACTATCCCAATGCAAGAATTGTTACCTTTTTCAAAGTAGATTTTGTGCTCTACATGAACCAACCGGAAATAATGCGCCTCCCAATTCCAAAAAAGGTTTTTACTTACAGACTTTCCTTGAGCAGTCCGGAATATCCCGATAAGTTAGGACGGCCATGACGTCATGAACCTTTGTTAGCAGGGCAAATGGCGGACCTTTCATGCGCACAAAGAAAATATGTTGTTTCCAGTATCGCATAGAGTCTGGCCAGCATTATTCAGGACTTTTTGCGACCAAACGTTGAGAAGGAGAATAAGCGGCCATTTTGGTGGTTTAAAAAACGTTGACTGTCTTCTAATCATTGAGTTTTTTTGTGGTCAAATATTAAGGTTAGTAAAGGGTACGCGTTATTTTCTAGTATTTACGTATTTTTCTTTGAGCTGTGTATATTTTTCACTGGTTCTAGTGTCGTTTAAGTTTCATCATGCCAAATTACGCGGTTGTAAACAACGCCGATATTTTGTAAACTCTCTTTGAATTTGAGGCATTACAAGTGTACCTGAACCGCTGTTGTTATAAGGCTTGAGTAGTGCATCGATCCTTCATTTTTATGACGGTCACGGTTGTTTTCAATTTCTCTCTCTTAAGTACATGGAAAAGCATACTCGACTGCTCGAGGCACTTTGCCGAATTTTTGGGGAAAAAACAAAGGTAACAGAGAGGAAAGAAGACGTCGCTAAGTACGCGGACGAAATTAAACAAATTTGGGAGGTCTCTGTTTTGGTGGATTCACCGAATGTGCACCCCAGTTGTATCACTGGAGAGCCAGCAGCCTGTTGAAAACCACCTACAGCACAGAAGTGGCAGCAAAACAGACAGGCCAGGGGTAGTGCAGTGATTCCCTGTAAATGGATGCAATCAGTATCCCAAGGAATGGCACAAAGGGTAGAGGAGATTGTTTGTGCTCTTTTACCAGACGTTGAGGGCCATGCAAACATGTAAGTTAAGGTTTTTAGGGGGCATTGTACTGTTTTTTTTTTTTTGGCATTTTTTAAAAACTGTACACACACCAGCTGTTCCTAGCAGATGATGATTCTTTTCACGTCTCCATGAAGCTTGAATGTACCAGAAAGTAATATTTTTGCAAAATAATTTTTATGAAAGCAAAGACTGAAAAGGTACAAGAGTTTAGAATGTAGTGTCGAGTGTTGAACATTACTAATTGTGAAACTAATGCAAAACATTAATTGGTTGTGAACACGAAACATATCAGTTTGGTTAGGAATATGTAATAAAAAATAGAAAACATAAGAGTCATCAGACCAATTGAGGGCACTCTCTTATTTAGTGAGACTAACGTGGTAACTACATTCAAAGTAAATTCATATTTTTAAACGAAAAATACATTTGTAATAATATTGATATCTGTAAGCAATGTAATAATCGTCTCAGCGCTTGTGATTTGTTTCAGGTCCTGTATTCTGCCAAGAGGCAAATTCAAGGTCGAGAGTACCTATAGAGTGAATAAAGTAAAATGGATTTCAGTTTCAAGACTGAATTTGTCTTGTATACTTTAAATAAATATATAATAAAACCTTGGGACATGTGGATGGATTGTGAATGCTCCCTTGTCAACCTGTCCAGGAATTATATTTTGATATTTTTAGATAAATAACTTATGAAATTCAGCAATTATATGTAAGTTTTCATAATTTAAATGTGGATCAGACATGATATCTTTTAGCACAGTAACAAATAGATACAAGAAATATTTGAAATAAATACCAAAATGGAGAAATTTCAGATTTACAAAAAATATATTAGCAGAATTTTTGACTATCCATGCATCTGACAACACTAAAATTTTGGACACATTTTTCTTGCTTAGTTTATTTTGTATAAAAGAACAAGAATTTCTCACTCGTATGCGTTACATGTATTCAAAATTCTGTTTTAATAATGATTTAATTTCCTCGATTTAGCCAAAACGTATTGTAAACATATCAGGTTTTGAGCATACGCAGTAGGACGAGACAGAATATACACGTGTGCTTGTACTCGTTAGCTGGAATAAAAAGTTATCTTTCTGATCTCTGCCATAACTTTATATGGTGTCAGAAGTGGGATAGCGAAGTAACCAAACATACCATTTAGCTCGATACACTGGAGAAGGTGGAAGAGTGAAGTCATTTCCGAACGACACGTGTACGATCGATTCAAGAAAACAACATGGCCGCCAGCGCCTCATTCATTGACAAGGGTCCAACCATGGACTGGAGCACGGATG